CACTATAGTCAGGACTATAGTGAGACTATAGTCAGGACTATAGTGAGACTATAGTCAATACTATAGTCAAGACTATAGTGAGAATATAGTCAAGCCTATAGTGAGACTATAGTCAAGACTATAGTGAGACTATAGTCAAGACTATAGTGGTCAAGACTATAATGAGACTATATTCAAGATAGTCAGACTATTGTCATGACTATAGTGAGACTATAGTCAAGCCTATAGTGCGACTATAGTCTAGACAATAGTAATACTATAGTCAAGACTAAAGTGCGACTATAGTCTACACAATAGTAACGCTATAGTCAGGACTATAGTGAGACTATAGTCAGGACTATAGTGAGACTATAGTCAAGACTATAGTGATACTTTAGTCAAGACTATAGTGAGACTATAGTCAAGACTATTATGAGACTATAGTCAAGACTATAGTGAAACCATAGTTAGACTATAGTCAAGACTATAGTAGTCAAGATTATAGTGAGACTATAGTAGTCAAGATTATAGTGAGACAGTAATCAGGACTATAGTGAGACTATAGTCTAGACTATAGTGAGGCTGTAGTCCAGACTAGAGTGAGACTATAGTATATCTATAGTTTCACTATAGTCTTGACTATAGTCTCACTATAGTCCTGACTATAGTCTCACTATAGTATTGACTATAGTCTCACTATATAGTGATACTATGGTCAAGACTATAGTGGGACTATAGGCAAGACTATAGTGAGACTATGGGCAAGAATATAGTGAGACTATAGTCAATACTATAGTGAGACTATGGTCAAGAATATAGTGAGACTATAGTAAGAATGCAGTGAGACTATAGCAAGACTATAATGAGAGTGAGACTAAAGTTAAGTCTATGGGGAGACTATAGTCAGACTATAGCTAAAACTATACTGAGACTATAGTCAAGACTATAATGTGACTATAGTCAAGACTATTATGAGGCTATAGGTCAAGACTATACTCAAGACTACAGTGAGACCACAGGCAAGACTATTGAGACTATAGGCAAGACTATAGTGAGACTATTGTCAAGTCTATAGTGAGACTATAGTGCGACTATAGTCTAGACAATAGTAATACTATAGTCAAGGCTATGGTGCGAATATAGTCTAGACAATAGTAATACTATAGTCAAGACTATAGTGCGACTATAGTCTAGACAATAGTAATACTATAATTAATACTATATTGAGACTAGAGTCAAATTTATAGTGAGACTATAGTCAAGACTATAATGAAACTATAGTTAGACTATAGTCAAGACTATTGTGAGGCTATAGTCAAGACTTTAGTGAGGCTATAGTTAAGACTATAGTTAAGCTATAGTCCAGACTATAGTGAAGCCATAGTCAATACTATAGTGAGGCTATAGTCATGACTATAGTGAGACTATAGTCAATACTGTAATTATATTATAGTCTAGAGTAAAATGATACTGTGGGGCTATAGTTCCACTATATATACAATATTTTGATCTTAATTTCTTCAAAAATTTAATACGTCTATTGTACAACCCTTAATGACATATCAAAATTGCAAAAATATTCCATATTATACATATATATTTTTTTAAATTTGACATCTTATATTTTGACAAACGATCAAAATTCATATAAAATTATGCATCCCGCAGTTTTGTATTATATAAGTGAACAAAAAATTAATAATAATTTATTGAAAATATCAAATAACTGGTTATTAAATATTAGTACTTATGGGTATTTTTTATTTATTTTTATTTTTTTTAATATTTATTTTCATTTAATAATGTACTTTAATGAAGCTATAATTATACTAGTATTTAAATTATTATGCACACATTACATACATATAGAATTCATAAGTAAATATGTTAGTAATTAGTAGTGAGTCATTTTGAAAATAAAAATCACATTTTTTTAGTGGTAAATTTTAAGAATGATTGATGTTTTAATTTTATTATATTTCATAAGCCATTTTATATTTAAATAAATAACGTATTGAGGATTTTTATGCCAAGCGAGATTATGATGCATTTTGTTTTAAAAGAAAATTTATAAAAAAAAGTCAAGAGAATAAAATTATTAGCAAAATTAGTGTTTTTATAGAAAAATCTTAAACAATTTTAGTTTTGTTGAAATTGATTCTAATTTTAAATAGTTTTTTTAACATTAAATATATTCTAAACCCCTTATTCATAAACAACATTTTATTTTATAAAAGGTTTATAAAACAAAATTTCCATACGAAATTTGATTTATAAATAGTTTATAAAATGAAATTGTGTTTATGAATAAGGGGGTAAATCTTTATAAATTTTAAATTTACCTGCTAATATTTCTTCTAATATTTTAAATTTCTTTCCTATTTATTGATTTATTACAATACATATTATTCCCTTTACTTATATTCTAACATTTTCCAACACTGTTACTTTAAGTAAACAACTTATCGCAGACAGCAACCGGAATACACAGTGTTGATCATAATAAAATATTATTTATGCATCTCAGGGCTGCAAAATGTCGTATGTACAAAAGTAGGAAATTCAAAATAGGATACAGTTAGGGTTCTATAAATCGACTTTCGAATAATCGAACAATCGACTTTTTGTCGAAAAAAGTCGACGTCGACTATTTTGTTCCAAAAAAGTCGAAAAGTCGACTTTGTTAATAAAAGTCGAAAAGTCTGAAAGTCGAAAAGTCGAAAAAAGTCGATAAGACGAAAAAAGTCGAAAGTCGTAAAAAGTCGAAAAGTTGAAAAAAGTCGGAAAAAGTCGAAAACTCGAAAATTGTAGAAAAAAGTCGAAAATTTTAAAAAGTGGAAAAAAGTCAAAAACTCTAAAAAAAAGTCGAAAAGTCGTAAAAAGTCGTCAAAAAAATAGTCGAAAAAAAGTCCAAAATAGTCAAAAAGTCGAAAAAAATCGAAGTCGAGAAGTCGAAAAAAGTCGGAAAAAGTCGAGAAGTCGAAAAGTCAAAAAAAGTCGAAAAAAGTCGACTATTTATAAAATACTTATAGTCGAAAAGTCTAAAAGTCGAATTTTAATTAAATGAAAAAGTCGAAAAATCGACTTTTCATAAAATGCAAAAAGTCGAAAAGTCGACTTTTCGTTTCAACTATAGAACCCTAGCTATAAGATTATTAAACCTTTTATTTTGTGCAACTGAAAACGTCGATTTCACATAAATTACAAAAGTCGAAAAAGCCACTTTTTGTCTATTTTTCTAGAAACTGTGAGTATAACACTATTTTAAAAAAACATACATACATATGTATTTAGATATAACAGTTTATATGTTTTTACAGTACGTTTTTACAGTTTTTTCTTAAGAAAAAATTTTGTATAACAGTTTTTTTTCTAAAGAAAAAATTATGTATAACTGTTTTTTCTTTGGAAAAAATATAGTTTAACTATTTTTTTTTATAAAAAAATATGTATTACAGTTTATTCCTTTGAAAAATTATGTATGACCGTTTTCTATAAAAAAATTGTGTATAACAGTTGTTTTCTAAAGAAAAAATTATGTATAACTGTTTTTTCTATAAAAAAATATGTATAGAAAACTATACAAATAATTGTGTATAATAGTTTTTTCTATAGAAAAATTGTTATGTATAACAGTTTTTTTTTTGGAAAAAATTATGTCTAACAGTTTTTTCTATAGAAAAAATTATGTATAACACTTTTTCTATAGAAAAAATTATGTATAACAGTTTTTTCTTTAGAAAAAATTATGTATAACAGTTTTTCATAGAAAAAATTATGTATAACAGTTTTTCATAGAAAAAATTATGTATTATAGTTTTTTTATAAAATTTTTTTTTCATAGAAAAAATGTTTTGTAAAAAAAAATATGTAGAACAGTTTTTTCTTTGGAAAAAATTTTGTGTAACAGTTTTTTCTATAGAAATTTTTGTTTCAAATAGTTTTTTTCTATATAAAAGTTTCTTCTATAGAAAAATTATACAAAAAAGAGTGCAGAATGGGTTTCTCTATAGAAATTTGGGGAGTATTTAAAAACTTTGTGTTTAGAATTTCTTTTTGTTCTATATAACAATTTTTCTATAGAAAATTTCATATATAAAAGTTGTTTTCTATAGAAAAGTTTGTGTATAACAGTTCTTTTCTATAGAAATGTTTTTCATTTATTGGATTTTTCTATTCAAAATTTGGTTATAACTATTATCTATAAAATTCTCTTTAAATTAAGAACTAGCAAAAATTACCGTTACAAATCATCATCATTATCTCTCAACGAAAACTTTACCATCTGGCAATGCCATATTTCGTCAGTCTGTCTAATTGGAAATGTCAAAAAGCAATAATGAAAACATGAAATAAAATCGAAATGAAACACAAAACGGAAATCATGATTACTGCATGAACACGATAAAGAATTCGAAAATAATTCGTTTCAGTCGCAAAAGAAAATCCCAATAAAAATCAACCACACAGTGTAAAAGCGGAGAATTACTCGAAACAAAAAAACGAGGAGTGTGAAATTGTAAGAATATCAAGAAAATTAAGAAAAAAAACACACACATACAAGAACTGTGAAAAGTAGCCGAAAAAAACCGTAGACAATAAAAGAAGAAAAAAATTTAAGCAGAAAACACAAAAGAAGCGGCAAATTTTTAATGAAAATTAATTAATTAAAATTAGATAATATGAATTGTAAAAAATTTTAAGCCGCCATTTGCTTTTGTGCTTTCGATTTTTTCTATATATATTCGTCTACGAAACGCACACACAAACCAAAAAAAAGTGTTTTATATGAAAAAAAAAAATGAATTGAATTGTATTGTTGCTTCGTTTCATGCTGGTGTTTCATCGTCGTTTGTCGTTGTCGTCGTTCTCGTCGTTACCCACCGTTTTTTATTGTATTTTGTTGTGTTGTTATGAAGAATAATGTCTGTCGTCGTGTGTTCTAAAAATTTATCAGCCGTTTCGTTTATATGCCTTCGTTTATTACCGTTTCTGCTGCGGCTGGCATTTTTTAATACGTCTTGTTTTTTTCTGCTATTATTGTTGTTTTTTCTTAATTGTGTGGAGAATTAAAAATTCTTTTTTTTGGATTATTTCTGTTTTATTGAAAGAAAATTAATATAAAAACAAAAATTAAAAATATTTTTTGCAAATAACAAAAAAAAACCTAAAGTAGAGATGTGGCAACGTTGTTAGTTAACGTGTTTTAGAGTTACCGTATTGGTTATAATTGTTAACTTTTCAATTAGAGAAAATTTAATTAAAATTTTAAGTGCCAAATAATTTTTTTTTTCATTGTAAAAATTGAAAAAAATTATTGTAAATTATTTGCACTTTCATTTTGCATAACACTTTTGCTACGAGTGTGTTTTGTGTGGTGTATTTTTGCAGTACAAATAAAAAAAAATGTTTAAATGTGTAGGAGGGCAGCAGAAAAAGTAACTTAAAGTAGTTTATTTAGGTATGTTTTATAATATGTCTTAAAAGTCTACTATTTTATCTGCTCCGGATTTTATAGACCTCCAAAGTTTTGATTTTGATGATTACACGATATGGGTCTTTGAAATACCTATCGATTGATGTATTATATGACATACCTACATTGGTTGTTAATCAAATAACAGAAAAATTAAGAAAATCGGATACGCAGTTATCAAAAAACTGGAGTAAAGTTGGTGAAAACTTTGAAAATTTAATATTCAAATGCGAAGATCTTCTAAACTATAAGAGATGATTGATAACTGACTAGAATATAGACCGCACCATAGACTAGGTTATAGTCTAATCTATGATGTGATCTATAGTCTATGGTGTGGTCTATAGTCCAGTCTATGGTGTGGTATAGATACTAGTTTAGTCTATAGTCTAGGCTGTCTTCCAATCAATAGTCTAGTTTGTAGTCCAGTCTATGGTATAGACTATGGTGTGGTCTATAGTCCAGTCTATGGTCTAGTCTGTAGTCCAATCTATAGTCTAGTTTAGTTTATGGTGTGGTCTAGATACTAGTGTAGTCTGGTCTATCGTCTTGTTTGTAGTCCAATCTATAGTCCTGTCTATAGTTTAGTCTAGTCTGTAGTGTTGTGGTCTAGATACTAGTCTAAATTGTAGTTCAATCTATAGTCCAGTCTATAGTTTAGTCCAATCTATAGTCTAGCCTGTGGTGTGGTCTAGATAATAGTCTAGTCTGTATTCTGGTCTAGTTTGTAGTCTAGTCTATAGTTTAGTCTATATAGACTCTATCTATAATCCAATCTATAGTCTAGTCTGTGGTGTGGTCTAGACAGTAGTCTAGTCTGTAGTCTGTTATATAGTCTAGTTTGTAGTCCAATCTATAGTCCTGACTATATTCTAGTCTGTGGTGTGGTCTAGATCAGTCTAGTCTGTAGTCCAGTCTATAGTCGAGTCCGTAGTCCAATCTATAGTGAAATCTATAGCCTAGTCTATAGTGTAGCCTAGATACTAGTCTAGTCTATAGTCTTGTATGTAGTCCAATCTATAGTCTAGTCTATAATTGTGTCCAGTCTAGTGCAAAATTAGTATTGTAATTTAAAACCTAAAATGTACTCGATTTATATAAAATGTCAACTGTGCCGAAACAACATTCCAGAATAATTCTTACGTCATTAAATTATTCGATCACCTTCTAGAGAACATTTCCAACTGCCGTCGTATTAATGCCACATACCACTCTATATACGAAAATAACTTTGCATGCAATTAAGTGCCAAAGACCCCACTCACTCACACTATGCATTTTTTTTTTATTTATTTAATACTTGTGTAACCCACTTTTATTCGTAATTTTGCAATTTTTTCTCTATTTATTGTTAAAAAAAAAGTTTTTTATACGCTATACATATTACAATCAATGTGCTTGCTAGACAATTATTTAAATTGTAAATTAAATTTACTAACAGACCCCATTTACCCCTTCGATTTCGAAAAAAAAAATCGCATTTTATTTTCAATTTCACTAATTCACCCCTGTGCCAATTTAAATTGTTGTTTGTTGCAAATAAAACAGAAATTTTTCTTAATTTATTTTAAATTGGCAATTTATTATTTGTGCAAACTATTTTGTTTATTTTTATTTTCTGTATTTTTAACTACACCCACCCACCAAAAGAAACTTTTGTTTCCATTTTTGTCACTCTATCTGTCTGTCGCTGTGTTTTATTCTTGTTTATTATTTTTATTATTAAATTCTTGTTAAATCTTTTTAGTTGCTTTTCTTTTGACCAACTCAAAAGGAAAATTATGCAAAAAATAAAAACTTGTCTTCATATGGTCCTAGCACAACAATAAAACAACTCAAAAGTGCAAAAAAAGAAGAAACAGAAAAGAAAAAAACAACAACTTAAAAGAAGCTATAATACAAAAGGAAAAAAAAAACAATAGAATTTTAGTGAGACGAAAAATAGAAGAAGCTGAAAAATAAAGTGCAGCTAAAGTCCAAAAATAGCAAAAAGACCAGAAAATTCTCTTTTTTGTTGTTCTTTTCTTTTTCATTCAACAATTTGTTTTAGTGCTAGAATGAAAGAAATATATGTATACTTAATGGAAAGTTGCCATATTTTTTTTAGGTTTCATGCGAAAATCAACACTATGTGGTAACTTCTCAAATAGGTTTTACTATTGGCGCAGGATTTTTGGGTAAATTTCTGATATTTTAAAGGAATTTTGAAAATTAAATCAAAAAATTCTAGAAATAGAATGTAATAAGGAATACTAACAGAAATGTGTTATTGTTTTTATTAAAACTTAAATGATTTTGTTAATTCTATGACTTGAGTCTTTTATTAACATTTTTAGTTTTTCTAAAAAGTTGGGAAAGGCTTTCTGACGAGCTATAGTAAACAACTCTCGAAATGTGTATAGGAACCAGCCTTCTCAATAATACAAATTATTCTTTCTGTTCAAAACTGAAATTTTTAGGTCTACTAACACTAATAACGGTTATCGTTTAAACGGTAGATATTCTGCTGGTAAAAATAATGTTTGTATGAAAACACTTTATTATACCCTATACTACTTTAGTGGGGAGGGTATATTGAGTTCGGTCCTATACCCACCTTAAAGAATACCAATCGGCTTAGAATCATTTTCTGAGTCGATTTTTGAAGATAATAAAATTTGGTACATGATCTTCTATTGTCAAAATGCCTATTGAATATGGTTATGATCGGTCCATTATTTCACCTAGCCCCCATACACCTGAACCCACTTGTAATCAAATTACAGGTCACAATTTTGAAGATAATTCAATGAAAGTTTGTACATGATCTTCTATTGTACTAGAGAAGAATCCTATTCAAAATAGGTAACATCGGTCCAATATTTAACCTAGCCCCCATACAACAGAACCCACCGAATATTGCCTTTAAGTTCATAATTATGTTCAATATACGCATATATCGAAAAAAAACTGCAAAACCAAGCTCTGTACTAGCCTTCATGACCCTGATGAATTGTTTGTTAATAGGGTCTCATTTGACCCTAACCCCTGTACAAAGCCCCCTTCGAAATATGACTTAAATGTACAAAATTTTATTCAACAATGAACACTAAAACAAATTTTATTTGTATAACTGGTGTAGGGTATTATATGGTTGGCCACGTCCGACTATAACTTCATGCTTTTTTTAACTTACGATAAAATATAACCTGACATTGTAATAATGCCGGTTAGACTACTTATGACCTTTATTTTCAAAATCTTTTTTTTCAAAAGAACTAATATATGATAAACTTCCAGAAAGCTACTAAAATCACATTTATGACTAGAGATCAACAGTCGAAACAGTTTTGTCTTACAAGATAGTTAACTATTCGACATTGTTAGGGCATAATAAGGAATATGTCCTATTACATTGCCGGCCATATGATACCCTACACTCGTTATGAGTATATTAATTAAAGAAGCAGTTTTTTTTATAAAAAAAAATACGACTTAATACGATTTATTGCATACGGGCTCTCAAGTCAAATGAGGCTCGATCATTACAAAAGTCAGCAGTGTCTTCTTTATATATGTATATAAAACTTTGTTGTGCGATTTTTGAAGAGATATATTAGTATATTTTACTAAAAAGTCCAAATCAGAAGGATCGACGTTTAAAATGTAGTTTTAAATACAAAAAATCGACTTTTTTGTTTCAGTTATAGAATTCATAAAATTCCTTTCTTATTTGCCCTACTACAACAGTGTCCAACAACACTCAACCATCTGGCAGCACCCTATTTACCAAATGAAATCGATAATGTGTACAAAAGACAAACGATAGAAAGAGATAACAGCACACAACATACGCACAAATGAAAAAGCAAACAGAAAGAGAAAAAACTGGCGCGAACTGAACGAAGAAAACGAGCAAGAAAAAAAAACACAACGAAAATGGCGATACCGACAAACAACGAAGAACTACGAATAGAATGACGAAGTGAAAAAAATCCATTTTCTAATAATTATTCGAAATTACGCTTTGCCAGTGAAATTCCTTCATGTCTGTGTCAAGTATAAATTGAATAAAAATAAAAAATCAAAGAAAAATAATTAAAAACCAACAAAAAAAGAAAATTACAATTGAAAAGTAATTGTGGAAAAACAAATAATTGCAAAAACTATAATTGTAGCAACAATTTTTACAAAACAACAAAAAAGTTGTGTTTGAAAAAAACAGTGTGTTGTACAAAAAAAAAAAAAAGATTTTTGGAAAAAAGCAAAAAAAGAAGACATAATTAAAAAAGTATATACAAGACCTTGAGTGGAAAAAAAAAATTTAAAGAAAAAAATCTACAAACAGAAAACTACAAAAAAGGAGTGTGTAATAAATAACAAAATTACTGAAAAACAAAATTTATAAAAAAAACAACGAAAATTAAAGAAAAAAATTAAATTTTATTAAAATAAAAACAGTGAAGTGATTGTTACTTTAACAAATAAAGTATAAAAAACCAAACACAAATTCGCTGTGCGAAAAAAATTTTAACAAAAAATTTAAGCAAAAACAACAAAAAAAAAGTGTAAAATACTAAAATAAATGAATTCCTCTTATTATTTAATAGTATTTTATCTAATGTGACGTCAAATATAAGCAGCAGCAACAATTTAAATTGAACAAATTATTCAACTAAATAAAAAAAAAAACATACTGTGCACCTTAATATTTATTCCCTCTCTTTTTGTGGTGTTGTTGTTTTAATTTTCTTAAAAGAAAATAAAACGACCAGAACAAACACATCAAATAACAAAAAAAAAAAAAAATAAAAGAAATATTTGATTTAAATGCTATTTTCCTTTTTGGCAAATTATGCAAAAATCATTACATTTATATGCAACAAATACAACAATAAAAACAACTTGTACAACAACTATTACAGGCAATATTGCTAAATTATTTTTAACTTAAAAATTTGTGGTAAAAAAAGTAAAATCTTCAAAAAAATATTCGAAAATATAACTAACAGGTAAGATCAATCAGAAGTTTATTAATTTATATTGTTTGCTATTTTTAACTGGAATCTATTGAGTTTATTTAGGAATAAATCGCATCCATAAACGGGTATCAATGTTGTGAACAGACAAATAACCATGTTACCAATAGGATCATGATCAATTTGTGAGTCAATCTGGAATGATTATTGACCGTTTTTTTTTTTGACATTCCTTAAATTCTCAATTAAATTAAGTTCCTGACTCTTAAAATGGAGGTGCAAGTTCGGATGGAAATGTATATTTTGTTAAAAAAAGTCATATCCTAGATACTTAATTAAATTAAATTCCATGGGGTTTGCCATAGCTGCATCTCTAGTAATTGCTTGAGCAAGTTTTTGGGACAAATCCTTTACTGAGGACTAAAGCCTCTAATAGATTGAAAAGTTTCAAGTGCTTGAAATTGGTGGTAGAATACTAGAGTAAACAATCACTCTATAATTGGACATATAAGACTCACAATCGAACTTCACTTTGAATCAATCTCTTAAAGTTTTGCAAGAAATGTCATAAAGTATTTCCACTAGATGTCATAAGGAAATTTCCTTCTCTTTACTTTCATCTGGACCTAAGATAACTCTTTGTGAAAAGGTGCCTATAAGAATAATATAAGAAATAGGAAAGAGGATCAAGATAGTAAATAAAAGAAAAGTGTGACGTTTAGAACATTAGTTAGTTAGTTAGTTAGTTAGTTAGTTAGTTAGTTAGTTAGTTAGTTAGTTAGTTAGTTAGTTAGTTAGTTAGTTAGTTAGTTAGTTAGTTAGTTAGTTAGTTAGTTAGTAGTTAGTTAGTAGTTAGTTAGTAGTTAGTTAGTTAGTTAGTTAGTTAGTTAGTAGTTAGTTAGTTAGTTAGTTAGTTAGTTAGGTTAGTTAGTTAGTTAGTTAGTTAGTTAGTTAGTTAGTTAGTTAGTTAGTTAGTTAGTTAGTTAGTTAGTTAGTTAGTTAGTTAGTTAGTTAGTTAGTTAGTTAGTTAGTTAGTTAGTTAGTTAGTTAGTTAGTTAGTTAGTTAGTTAGTTAGTTAGTTAGTTAGTTAGTTAGTTAGTTAGTTAGTTAGTTAGTTAGTTAGTTAGTTAGTTAGTTAGTTAGTTAGTTAGTTAGTTAGTTAGTTAGTTAGTTAGTTAGTTAGTTAGTTAGTTAGTTAGTTAGTTAGTTAGTTAGTTAGTTAGTTAGTTAGTTAGTTAGTTAGTTAGTTAGTTAGTTAGTTAGTTAGTTAGTTAGTTAGTTAGTTAGTTAGTTAGTTAGTTAGTTAGTTAGTTAGTTAGTTAGTTAGTTAGTTAGTTAGTTAGTTAGTTAGTTAGTTAGTTAGTAGTTAGTTAGTTAGTAGTTAGTTAGTTAGTTAGTTAGTTAGTTAGTTAGTTAGTTAGTTAGTTAGTTAGTTAGTTAGTTAGTTAGTAGTTAGTTAGTTAGTTAGTAGTAGTAGTTAGTTAGTTAGTTAGTTAGTTAGTTAGTTAGTAGTTAGTTAGTTAGTTAGTTAGTTAGTTAGTAGTAGTTAGTTAGTTAGTTAGTTAGTTAGTTAGTTAGTTAGTTAGTTAGTTAGTTAGTTAGTTAGTTAGTTTGAAAGGAGGATGTATATACATCAAATCCGAAGAAATACACCTAGGCCTCTATCGGGCCTGTTGTGCGCTCTTTAACCAGTGCCTCAGGTGGGAATCGAACCCACCACCTCCGGTCTACCAGTCTAGAACACTAACCACTAACCTACCGGAGGCCACTTTAGAACATTAAGAAATAGAGAAAATTAATTTATACCCTGTAGTTCGACAAAGAGTCAATGCATAGGAAAAATACAGTGATTTCCACTTATGTTAAACCACCTGGTGGGCCCTAATTCGTCTTTCGTCACGGATGTACTCTTTGTAAACGAGGTTGAAGGTAATCGTCACTTCAGTGTCCCCTTTGTAAGCGAGAGAGGGGACACTTAAAAAACACTTGTCTGTATCTTTGTAACTTATGGGGTGACGATTGACTTCCTCGTAGGACAAGCACATGTTAAAATAGCTAGTCACCTGGACAGTCGGTGGCTAGGGGTAACCCTATGTGGTAGGCTAAATAGGGAGTTCGGGACTGTCCGCCCGAACTGCTGGGTAGCTATTAAGGTATTAGCTCACATTACCCTTGCATTGTTTTCGAATTTGCAGAGTCCAATGATGGCTAATAGCAAAGTAACTAACTGCAAACAGTGAAGATCTAGACACTATAATGTACACTGCCTCATAGACCTATGGTTAGGATTTAAGGGGGCGCAGTTTCTCCAGCTCCCCCTTCCACCACAGACACTAATCTAATCCATCACAGACCAAATCTCCGTAGATATACATACATATAATAACGAAAGTTCTTTTAAAAGATGGTTCCGAACTACAGTAATCGATTATGATAATCTCGACTTCAAACATATTTAACAAAAAGTTGATTGTTTGAAAGTCGACTTATAGATCCTAGTATGAGTTTGTTGTTGTTGTAACAGATCGACTATGTCCGTTAATTCTTTCCTGGGGAAAACAAGCTTTGGTTCATACAGTGGTCGCTGAGTCGATCTTTTGTCGATTAATACTTGGCTAGTTCCGGAGTGAACTACGAATTTGACTTACCACTTAGGGTTATTCCTAGCCACAGACTGCCCAGGTAACTAGCTATTTCAACATGTGCTTGTGCAGTCGTCCGAAGAGACGGACAAAAAGCTTATGTTTTTTTTTAAGTGTCCATTCTCTCGCTTACAAAGGGCACACTATAGTGACGATTATCTTCATCCTTGTTTACAAAGAGTGCATCCGTGGTGAAAGAAGAATTAGAGTCAACCAGGTGGCTAAACTTTTAGTAGAAATTATTGTCTTATTCGGATGCTTTGTCTATTTATCGAACTTCTGAACAATTGTCGTGGGAAAGTATGATTGGGGGTAGGATAGATTAGGAATGTTATGACTGAAACAAGAACTGACAATAGCCTACTATCGAAAAAATTACAAATTCAATTCTAAAATTCAAATTTGTCTCACAATTTTAATCGAATTTTAAATTTTGAAAAAACTATACATAATTTCTTTCATAACTATAAAAATGTTAATAAAAATTATAATTTTTACTTATTTTTTAATTCCCTTTTAAGTTTATTTGCCATTAATTTGTTCGTGTGTTTATTTATTCAACATTCGTAAAGAGTTTAACAACATCTCTTATTCTTTTGTGCAAATACATTATTGGAAATAAGTACGTACAACGTTTGATAAAATTGGCGCTAAAAACACCGTTTACAAATACAAAACTCACATTGTTAAAAACAACGACTGCCAGTTTCCAAAGCTGTGGTCTGATGTTTTAGCTTTAATGCTAATCTTTAGTGTATAGCTATAGTTGGCAGAATAAGCTTATTTATTATTTAGCATAAGTTTACTGCTACTCCTACTAGATGTCAACTAGAATTGTTGATTACAGATTTCTCTCATTTTGAGCACCCCAATTAGAGTTCTATTTTATTCATAACTTTTCTTTTAGATTACACTTCAGACTATATATTAAACCTGGCTTTATATCCACCCAATACCTTTTAAAATGACTTTCGACTAAGACCTTCATATCAAATGTTTTTACCTTTCAATTTACTTAAAATCTCAATAGTTTACTTTTCGTTTTGAAAAACTCACTTTAATTTGGCCACTTGTGCATTTTGGTGGCTTTATCCATAAACTTTCGTGTGATTTTCTTTTCTACAATATTGCTTTTATTTATTATTTCTTTTTGTCGTTGTTTTCCTTTTGAATTTTTACGTTTACTTTGTTTTTTCACGTTTTTTTTTTTATATTTTTACCTTTGTAAACCAAACAATTGTTTTATTTAAAATATAGTTGGCAAAGGGAAGCAGCAGCATAGGGAGTGGTCGACCATATAATGTCCTACACCAGTAAAATATTTATGTATGTTGAATCCTACTTGGTCCCGATATATTTATTAACCAATTTATTAACGAAAAACCAATTTTCTAAGAAAGTTTTTATATGGGGGCTAGGGGCAAATATGAATCAATCCCGTTAAAATATGATGTATTATTAGTGGGGTTTGTTGTTGTAACAGTTCGAATGATAGATATATTTAATTGCTCATTGGATGGGCATCGTTAATCTGTGCATATTATTGGTTGTAATCTATATTCTTGTCTATAGTTCAGTCTATTGTCTAGTCTGTAGTGTAGTCTATAGTCTAGTCTATAGTCTAGTCTATAGTCTAGTCTATAGTCTAGTCTATAGTCTAGTCTATAGTCTAGTCTATAGTCTAGTCTATAGTCTAGTCTATAGTCTAGTCTATAGTCTAGTCTATAGTCTAGTCTATAGTCTAGTCTATAGTCTAGTCTATAGTCTAGTCTATAGTCTAGTCTATAGTATAGTCTATAGACTAGTCTATAGTCTAGTCTATAGTCTAGTCTATAGTCTAGTCTATAGTCTAGTCTATAGTCTAGTCTATAGTCTAGTCTATAGTCTAGTCTATAGTCTAGTCTATAGGCTAGTCTATAGTCTAGTCTATAGTCTAGTCTATATTCTTGTCTATAGTCTAGTCTATAGTCTAGTCTATAGTCTAGTCTATAGTCTAGTCTATAGTCTAGTCTATAGTCTAGTCTATAGTCTAGTCTATAGTCTAGTCTATAGTCTAATCTATAGTCTAGTCTATAGTCTAGTCTATAGTCTAGTCTATGGTCTAGTCTATGGTCTAGTCTATGGTCTAGTCTATAGTCTAGTCTATAGTCTAGTCTATAGTCTAGAATATACTCTAGTCTATAGTCTAGTCTATAGTCTAATCTATAGTCTAGTCTATAGTCTAGTTTATAGTCTAGTTTATAGTCTAATCTATAGTCTAGTCTATAGTCTAGTTTATAGTCTAGTTTATAGTCTAGTCTATAGTCTAGTTTATAATCTAGTCCATAATCTAGTTTATAGTCTAGTCTATAGTCTAGTTTATAGTCTAGTCAATAGTCTATTCTATATTCT